TCAAAGGCAATAAAGCTCAGGGGAGGAGATTGCCCATCTGTCTTCTGCCAAGCAGCAGGTGGATTAAAACGTGTACCTTTCGGTCCTTACCACTGGTCACCAGAGCTCCGTGATTAAATATTGTTGCTATGCACCGTTGACCCTCTGGTGACCACTGACTCTCTGGTGGGTTTTCAGAGGCAGTAAGGGAAATGGTATTCTCATTGCAACATAACCAGGCAGGCTCTGGATCTTGCCAGTTGGACCCTGAACCTGTGTTTGCTGTATGACCTGATTGAGCAGAATCAAAAGAGAATACATGATCCACATGGGAGGAGATTGCCAATCCTTCTCCTGCAGAGCTGGAGAGCTGGGGGATTCGAACCGCTTGCCTTTGGGTTGGCAAAGTACCTCCTTATTGCTGGGCCACCAGAGCTCCCTTTTCTGACTAATTAAGAGGATACATTTATCAAGGGGATCAATGAATGGTAATTGTTACTACCTTAGGTACCAGGCAGCATTTTAAAGTCTTTGCAGCAGCACACAGTGCTCCTTTGCAAACAAGGAGGCTCAGGAAGTTATTAGTTGTCTAAGTTAGAATAGTTTGTAAGAGGTCAGGTTGGAAAATGAACCCTTGTAATGGCTTCCTGGGGGCTGTACTTCTAATCCAAAGGTGGTGCCTCTTTGGTGGTTCAAATCTACCAGCAGCTCCAAGGGAGAAAGATGGACAGTCGCCTTCCATGTGATTTATATTCTTGGAAACCCGCTTGGAGGGTCAGCTGTGAGTACCAAACAATCTGAGGGTGACGGGTCGAATGGTGTCCTAGCCTCCATTCTTAATAGCCAAAGTGTGTTGTTGTTGTGTGCTGATAGCAAGTCCTGACAGCCAGTCCTGCACCTCAACCACCTTCACAGTCGCTGCTGTGCGACTGTGCGATTGGGGTCACTATGTCCATCTCTCTCACTGAAGTCTTCCTCTTTTTTGCTGACCTTGCTACCTGCATAATGTCTCTCTCCTGGAACGTGGTGGATGAGAGCCCTCAGGGATTATTTGGGAGGTAGATTAGGCTCTTGAAAACAGCTGACAACTCCTTGGACTAATATTAGTTCCTTAGCTGTAATATCAGGTGTGCATATGTATAGACAATTGGTTATTGTTATTTGCAGTAGTTGTGTTCTGAAAGGAGTCTCTGGGTGATGCAAATGGCTAACACATTCGGCTGCTAAGCCAAAGGTTGGAGGTTTGAGATCATTCAGAGGTGCTTCAGAAAAAGTCCTACCAGTCTGCTTCCAAAACATCAGCCATTGAAAACCCAAGCACAGTTCTGCTCTGACACACTCAGGGTTCCTGTGAGCCAGAATGTGCTTGAAGATCCATATGTTCTGTAAAGTACCTGTAAGCACTGAATCAGTGAATGCCAGACCTTTGTTTCTGAATAGCTTGGTAGCATAGTGGTGAAAGAGTTTGGCTGCTATCTAAAAGATAACAGGTTCAAATCCAGTAGCCATTCCTGGATAGGCTGCTCCTATAAAGAGTTACAGTTTAGGGTTAAAACCCTTTGAGCAGTCCTGCTTTGTCTTACAGGGTCACTCTGAGTCAGGATTGACTTGATGGCAGTGGGTGTTTATTTTTTAGGACTCTTATTTCTAGAGGGGAATAGAGTTAGGATCCTGAAAACTTCTTTCTCTGTCATTGCTGTCAAGTTAGAACCGACTCATAGCCAACCGTCCAGCAGGTTTTCAGAGCCTGTGAATTGCTCAGGAGATTGCCCATCTTTCTCCCTTGGAGCCTCGAGTGGATTTAAACACTTGAGAGGAGCCGCCTTTGGGTTAACGACACATCTCTCCACACACTGCCCTCAGAACTTCCTTGCAAACTTCTGATTCCACATTTTTGTTACATGTGCACATAACCTTGTTTTATGTTTGTCTCTGTTTAAAGACAACTTATAAATATTATTGATTCATTAGTACTAAATGGATGGCCCTCAGTGCTGTAACTCATGGCCATGCTAAACTTACCTGACACCCCTCCAGAAGGCACATTGTAACCTTCTTGGGCGTAAGAAACGGCAGACAGCATGTGAGCATGTGTATGTCATATTTTAAACAGCATGCTCACAAACACAAACAAGGACAAACAAAACAGAAATATCACAACCCTGTGGGACAGAGCAGAACTGCTCACAGAGGGCTTCTGAATTTCATGTACATGTGACATGATGACTTGCTCCTCCATTCTGTCACTTGTGTCAGGATTTCATTTCTCCTACTGGCTGAGTACAGAGCTCTGGTGGCCTAGTGGTAAGGAGTTGTGCTGCCAACCCAAAGGCAGGCAGTTTGAATCCATCAGCTGCTGTGAGGGAGAAACATAGGCAGTTTCCTCTCATGTAATTTACAGCCTCTGAAAATTGCATTTTATTATATTCATCTACTTAAGTTGTTTCCACCTTCCAGCTATTATGAGAAGTGTTGCAATGAGCATGGTGTACACATCTCATTTTTGAGTTCCTATTCTCAGACCCTAGGAGATAGACTTAGGAGTATGTTTTAGTCATCTGGTGTTATTTTAAGATAGAATCTATGAGGAGATGGCTTTAACAAACAGATGTTTGTTCTCTCACAGTCCAGGAAGCCACAAGTCTAAATTCTTAGAACTAGCTTTAGGGAAAGGCTGTCTCTCTATTTTGGTTCTGGAGGAAGGTCAGTGTCTCTTTCAGCATCTGCATGCCCATCATTCCTTGGAGAGCTCCATGTGTCCTGGCCTTCTGTTAAGGAGCTTCCCAGCATAGGAACCCGAGACTGAAATGACACTCTCCACTCTGGATGGTTCTTTCCTGTTGGTACTGAGGTCCCCATTTTTGATCATTTCTCCATCCAGGAAGCTCTGGTGGCCTGGTGGGTAAAGAATGTGTTGCCAACCTAAAGACAGGCAGATGAATCCCATAATGCTTCACAGGAGAAAGAGGAGCCAAAAAAAAAAAAAAAAAAAAGAGGAGCCGTCTCCTCCCGTGAAGGTTACAGCCTCTGAAAATCCACTGAAGGGTCAGCTATGAGTCACTTCTGACTCAACAATGAACATTGTATTGAGTTTCTATCTTAAACAAAAGGTAATGCAGGCATCCTCTAGGGAAATTCCTTTTAATCAGATCAAAATTGTTTTCTGTTGAGTTGGAACCAATCATAGCTGACCCTTCAGCAGGTTTTCAGAGGCAGTAAATCTTGTGGGAGAGGATTGCCCATCCTTCTCCTGTAGAGCAGTTTTAGTGGATTCGAACTATGTGCCTTTGGTATTACAGCACACCTTCTTACTACTATGTTATAGCCTACCCTTAAATCTCTTAAGATTTGGTGTATCACATCATGAGCGGCTATTACAAAACTTCTGCATAACATCATTGCATGTGTATTTTCTGGGGAACATGATTCAGTCCACGATGGTGTAGAACTGTTGGGTCATATGGTAGTTCTGTTTTTGGTTTGTCAAGAAACCATTATTTTCCACAATGATTGTACCATTTCACATTCTCATCAGCAGTGGATAAGGATTCTACCTTCCCCACATCCTGTAGCCATCCTAGGAGAAGAGAAATGGGTTCACTGTAGTTTTGATTTACAGCCTTGGAGTCTCAAGGGAAGGTCAGCTATGAATCAGTTCTAGCAGAACAGCAGTGAGATGAGATGAGAGGCTGACTAATGTTTCTGAGCATCTTTTTATACTTTTGGTAGACATTTGAATGTCATCTTTGGTGAGATGTATATTCAGTTTCTTTGCTTATTTTATGTCAAGTCATTCTGTATTCCTGGAATAAATTCCAATTTTCATGGTTTATGACTTTTAATATGCTCTTAGATTCTGTTTGCTAGTATTTTGTTAAAGATTTTTGTACCTGTATCCATGAGCTGTTATTGGCCTGTAGTTTTCTTTTTGTGTAATATATTTGCCTGGTTTGGACATCAGCATTGTTTGTTACATAGAATAAATTACAGTTTATTCCTTACTCTCTATCTTTTGGAAGAGTGTAAACAGCATTTGTGTCAAGTTTTTAAATGTTTGATAGGGTCCCCATGAATCCATCTGATCTAGGACCCAGATTTTTTGTTGTTGTTTGGAGGTTTTTGGTCACTGATTTGATCTCTTCCCGTGTGGGTCTCTTGAGACTTTCTGTTTCCTTTGCAGTCAGTTTGAATAGCTTTGGGTGATTACAAACCTCTCACAATTTTCCTATTAGTCATAGATGATCCAGTTATTGCCATACAGTTGTTTCTGAGATTCTTTGATAGTTCTCTTTATTCCTGTCAGGCCGGCTGTGCCGTATTGGTAAACGTTATTGCACTCAAGGCCATGATTCCATCTCATTGTCTTCTTTTTTTTTGCTGGTACTCTACTTTACCAAGGGCAGTGCCCTTTTCTAGGGGCGTCTTTCCTGATCACATGTCCAAAGTAAGTGAGATGAAGAGTCGTGTCTGCTTTCCTTCAGCTGCAAGGAAATGGAAAATCATGGTACAATTGAACAACTTCCACCTACTCAGTTCAGTTAATTCCCTCAGCATTTCTATGAAGCAGATGCTGTTTTATCCCCAATTTTCCAGAACAGAATTGATACACTGAGGGGTGAATAATTTACCCAGAAGTTTTAGAAAGTAGAGGTGTCATACCAAGAACCCAGGCAGTCTTGCCTTGGAATTCATAAGTACCTCCTGCCCGCTCTCATTTTCTGCCACTCCCTGGAAGTAAATGTCTACTTTGGGAACTACAAGGAGACACTTAGGATTGCTGGGCACATCTGTGCATCGTTCACTCCGCAAGGTTCTTGACTGAGTGTGCCTCATATAGCTGGAACCCAGACCACACTCTACCTGACAGGTTTTATGTGGCTGCCTCTTCCTGGAGGAAGGAATAACTTCCATAAAGTCACTTGCAGTTGTCATATGGGACAGACAGCCATGCCCTTTATCACATGACTTCTCTCTCTCTCTAGGTCTGCCTTCCTAGGGTGCTAAACCAAGAGCAGGAGAGAATGACCAAGCTCCAGGTGAGTTGAGCTTTCTTGTTTGGTACATGGCATCTCACTTCTCAGAGCTCAGCTCCTGCTTGCAGTGTGCTGGGGAGGTGCTGTTTTGTTTTTGTCGGAGTTTTTCCTAGTTTTATGTTCTCAGTATTTATTCCCCGTGTGATTGTTGTTGTTGGTACCGTTGGGCCTGTTCTGACTCACAGAGACCCTCCAAACAGCAGAAGGAAACCCTGCGTGGCCCATGCCGCCTTAACTATTGATGTGCTCGAGCCGGTGTGGTAGCTTCTAGGTCTGTCCACCTCGGTGAAGGTCTTTCTTTTTCACCCTTCTCTAGGGTTGAGCCCTCCTGATGGCGTGCTCACAGTTTGTGAGACGAAGTCTCGCCGTCCTCACCTCCAAGGAGCATTCTGCTGCACTTTCCAAGAGAAATTTGTTTGCATAAAAATCAAGGGTCCTTCATTGTGGGGAGGGCTGGGTGTATGGAGGGGGGAGAGGAGAAGAAAATGTGCAACAATGAAAAAAGACTTAAAATCTTTTTAATGTTAAAAAGTAATAAACTCAAGGCTCCTTGAGTGATGCAAATAGTTACACTTGATTATCACATTTAAAAATGAGAAATGTATTTGCCAAAGGTAAGGCAGTTAATTGATTTTTTTTAACCTTTTTGGAGGAAGGTATTCTTTTTATTTTTTTAAAATTTTATTATTTTTGTGTGAGTGTACCATCAAATCAGATCTGACTGGTACAGGAGGAGATTGTCCTTCCTTCCTCGGCAGAGGATCTGGTGGATTCGAACCGTGCCTCTCTGGGATTGTAGTTGCAGCTCCTTGCCACTAGGCCACCAGAGCTCCCCAGAGGAAGGTATTCTTGAAGAACAATCTGATTCTGATGTATTATCACTTAAAAGTACGTTTTCTTTGCTATTACAGTTTGAGTTGATGAGAAATTTCCTTAAAGAAAGCAATCAGATGTTGGTGCTAGAGACAGTCTGGAAATAAATGCCCACTAACTGGATTGTTTACACACAGAAACTTAATGACATCAAGTTGATTCTGACTCGTGGGGGAGAGCCCACTTGACGGGCTCCTCGTAGTTCCCAAAGCTGGTATCTTTATGGACCAAGTGGTGAAGCCTTTGACTGCTGGCAAAGAAAGGATCAGCAATTAAACCCAGCTGCCGCCCTGCAGAAGCAGGATGTGACAGTCTGTTTTGTGAAGATCCCCAGCCTTGGAAATTCCCTGGGGCAGTTCTGCTCTGAGCTGGAGGGGTGATAGGAGTTGCAATTGCCTCCATGGTTTTTTGTTTGCTTTAGTATTCAGGGGAACTGACCTCCATAACTTTCTCTAAGGAGTGGCTAATGCATTTGAACCTCCGACCTGCTTAGAAGCCCAAGTATGCCCAAGTGCTGCAGCTGAAAACCAACAAACCACGCTGCCCTGTTTAACCATGTTACACATCATAAAGCTCTGGCAGCCTAGTCTATAGGGTGGTTCAAATCTACCAGCTGCTCCACGAGAGGAAGGTAGACAGTCTCTTGTGTGATTTACAGCCTTTGAAAAGCTGCTGGATGTTCAGCTAGGGGTCTGTACAGACAGGATGGCAAGGACTGACCGATTGAAATAATAAAAGTGCATCGAATACTTTGTAGTCTTTAAATGAGTAAAGTACACTATTCACTTGGTGTTGATGATGGTAGTTAAAATCTATTGAGCATTTACTATTTGTCAAGCATTGTCCTGCAAGCTTTCTGTGTGTTCATGAATTTAACACTTCGAACCGCCTCTCGCCCTTCTCACAAAGAAGGAAGTGCTGCAGGGTAGGAGACCGGCTAGTTTATCCATGGTCACACAGCAACAGGTAGTACACGAGACAGTCTGACTCTGCACTTAGCACTGTTTTGTTGTTGTGTTCTGTCAAGTTGGAACTGACTCCTCGCACATCCTCCAGTGAGTTTTCAGAGGCTAGAAATCACGGGGGAGGAAATTTCTCCCACTGTGCAGTGGGTGGGTTCAAACTGCTTGCCTCACCCCTGAGGCCAGCAGAGCTCCTTGCTGCGGTGGGTGTGCTGTGCATCTGAGATCACTGCCTGCCCACGCAGGATGGACCACAGTGGCCACTGAGCATGACGAACAATTTAATACAAGGGGAGGGGCAGAGAGTTCAGAGTCAATCACATCTTCAACCCTCAGGAATTAAATTCCTGGGACTTTGTGCAAGTCTGCTGTCAGTAACCTCTCCAGTGTCAGGGACCTCTCCAAATTACTAAGAAGCAGTTATGTCAGTTTGAAGACCGAGGTGTACCTGTTCAGTCCATGGTCTTTTTAGTCACCAGCTGTGCATCAGAGAGTTGGACAATGAATAAGGATGAAAGAAGAAGAATTGATGCCTTTGAGTTGTGATGTTGGAGGAGAATACTGCATATCTCATGGACTTCCAAAAGAGTGAATAGATATTTCTTGGAGAAGACAGCCAGAATGCTCCTTGGAGGCAAAGATGACAAATCTTGGTCTCACAAACTTTGGGCATGTGGCTAAGAGAGGCTGTTCATTAGAGAGGGACATCATGCTTGGAAAGAAAGGTGGAGGGGTGGTGAAAGAGAGGAGATATCACACACACACACACACACACACACACACACACACACACACAAACCCCACCCCCAGTGAGCTGAATTGACACAGTGACTGCAGCCGTGGCTCTCGTGTTTCAGGCAGGCATGATGAGGCTGGCACAGGATAGGACAGGGTTCAGAAGTCACTGTGAGTTGTACTCAACTCTACACACCTAACCACAACCACCCTTTCCAGCTGCAGTACTTTTGGAAGACTGCAGTACATCAATAGGTGGCGTTAGTGATGTTGCAGGCACAAAGCTGGGGGAAACAGAAGTCACACTTCCTCTTGTTCAGTTGGTTCCACTCCTGACAAGCCCCTGTATGGCAGGGTAGCTCTCCGTACAGTATTCGTGGCTGTGTCCTCTATGGAAGCAGGTGTCCAGGCCTTTCTTCTGAGGCCCTCCTGGGTGGGTTCAGGCCACCAGCCATTAGGTTACTGCTGTTGTTAGACTTTACCATGTCATCTCTGACGCATAGCAAGTCTGTACAGCAGGACAAACTCCTACCCCATCCTCTCCGTCTGCTGTGCTCAAGCCTGTGATAACGCAGCCACTGACACTGTTCATCTGCTGACCCTCCACTTTTCCAGGGACTGACCTCTCCTGATAACCTGTCCAAAGTATGTGAGAGGAAAAAGTACAAAGCCTTCATTCCACCCATGGACTCTGTTAGAGACGGACTTGAGTCCCTCAGAACATCCAGTCTCTTCCCGCTCGCCGTGCCTACCTTCTCAGTTCTGCTCCACTTCTAGGGGGCGTTGAACTTTAAGCAGGAGGTTGTGTGTGTTTGGTGTTGCAGGAGGCTGTGACGTTCAAGGACGTGGCCGTGGTCTTTACCGAGGAGGAGCTGGGCCTGCTGGACTCCACCCAGAGGATGCTGTACCGAGACGTGATGCTGGAGAACTTGAGGAACCTACTGTCAGTGGGTGAGGACGGGCACTTTTGTGTATTCAGGGTCTAGTGTGTTCTGTCATCCCCATCACTTAGGGCTTTGTGGTTGTCTTTAACTGCTGCTGAGTTGGGACCCACTCAAAACTGACCCTCTACCAGGTTTTCAGAGGCTGTAAATTGAATAGGTGGAAAGGGCCCGTCTTTTTTTCCTTGGGGTAGGTGGTGGATTTGAACCATGTGCCTTAGGGTCAGCAACACATCCTCTTACCACTAGACCACTGGAGCTCCCTACTAAGGGCTTTTTGTTATTGTTGTTATTTGTCACTGAGTCGAGTATGACTTGAGTGCAACCCCATGAACAACAAATCTGAATCCTTTCCTATCCTGTACTGTCCTCATCATCTGATACACGTGAGCCCATTGCTATAGTCACTGCCAGTCCATCTCATAGAGGATCTTCCTCTCTTTCTCTGACCATCTACAGCCTCTTCTAGCTCCATGCCCAGAGTGTGAAAGATGCAGCTTTGCCATCTTTACCTCCAAGTAGCATGTTAGCTGCACCTTTTTCGAGATATACCTGTTTGTTCTGCTGAGCTTGGGGTAGCGGGTGCCCTAGTCCCTGTGGTCCACAGAGTAAAGAGACTTCTGGTGTCTCTGTCCTTGTCAGTGAACTGTGAATGGGCAATATTGCTTTGGGGTCTTGTCTCCCCTTTTTCCAACTCTGTGTTGTACCCCTATGCAGATGGTGAATCAATTTAGTGAAGCCTATCAGAATTTATTTTCTAAAGAATTAATAAAATAGAAACCCACTCACTGCCGACAATCCTTTTCCAACTTATGACAACAGATTTCTGAGGCTGGAAATCTTTGTGGCAGGAGACTGCCCAGCTATCTCCCACAGACCGATGGTAAAGTAAATGATTTTGGTTAGCAGCCAGAGCTCCTTATAAAACAGAATGGAATAGAACATGCCAGAGCTCCTTAACAAGGATTACATGTGTTAAAGCAAGAACTAGTCAGTAATAGTGAGTTGTAGGAAAGTGGAAAATACTGGAGAAATTCACTTTGATGGTGGTTGTTGTTAGTTGTCATGGAGCTGAAGGGAATCCTGTGGTGTAGTCCACTGGGAGCTGTGTTATCCTAAACGCTGTAAGTGGTTCAAAGCCACTGGCCTCTCTGCAGGAGAGAGCGAGCCAGCCTCCTCCATGTGACGTGATAGAGAACCAGTCCCCTCCATGTGACGTGAGCGAGAACCAGCCTCCTCCATGTGGTGTGATAGAGAGCCAGCCTCCTCCATGTGACGTGATAGAGAGCCAGCCTCCTCCAGTGACAGAGAGCCAGCCTCCTCCATGTGATGTGATAGAGAGCCAGCCTCCTCCACGTAGTGTGATAGAGAGCCAGCCTCCTCCATGTGATATGATAGCCAGCATCCTCCATGTGACATGATAGAGAGCCAGCCTCCTCCAGTGATAGAGAGCCAACCTCCTCCATGTGATATGATAGAGAGCCAGCCTCCTCCAGTGACAGAGAGCCAGCCTCCTCTACATGGTGTGATAGAGAGCCAGCCTCCTCCATGTAGTGTGATAGAGAGCCAGCCTCCTCCACATGGTGTGATAGAGAGCCAGCCTCCTCCATGTGACATGATAGAGAGCCAGTCCCCTCCATGATGTACGGCCTCAGAAGCCCACTGCAGTCAGCTGGGAGTGGGTTTTGCTTTGACAGCAATGAGAAAACTGAGGAGGCATATGTATGTACGTGGTACCAATTCATAACATAAAATCCATTTCTTCTGGCATGTTGAAAGTTTTAAAAACAGCTTGAAAGTTTGTAAACTACTCCTTTAAAAGGATTGAAGATTATGTAACTCTTTGACTAATATGGTGTATTGACCCTGAACAGCTTTAATGTTGCAGATGTAACCAAAGGGAACATTACTCTCACACTGACTTTCTGCCACCTGGAATAGCTGAGGTGTGCACTTAGAAGAATTTCATTTACAGATCCTTAGTTAATGGCCTTAAGTGCCTTAGTGCCTTAAGGCAGCTCCAACTCATGGTGACCTATGTACAGCAAAATGTTTCCCAGCTCTGTGCCAGCATCACCGTCACCAGCATGCTTGAGTCCATTTCTGTGGCCACTGACCAGTCCATCTCTGCTTCATCAAATGTCCTTGTCTACTATTTGATCCCTGCAGATGACATGGCCAAAGCAACTGTGCTGTCACATTCCATAAAATTTTCTTTTAAAAAATTTTTAAATTAATTTTAATGAAAGTTTACAGAGACTTAGGGTTTCCATTCATTCATTGTTGCACTTTTCTCCCTGCCCACCCCTCCCTCCTAACTCACTCTTCTCTCTGAAAAGTAAAATTCTGTCATTGTTATACAATCCCTACCCCCACGTCCACTCCACTGTGCAGCCTGACAATAATACCCAATCTTATATCTCTTTTAAATAGTTCTCTCCCTCATCTGTTTCAACGCAGTATTCGTTATTTATTCCCTTTTTCTCAGTCTTCCCTCAACCCCGATGTCAGTCCTGTTTTACAACAGTGGCCCTATGAAATATTTGTCCTTTTGTGACTGAGATATTTCACTCAGCATAATGTCCTCCAGGGTTACCCATTGTGTATAATATTTCATGAGTTCCTTGTTTTTCAATGCAGCATAGTATTCCATTATGTGACTATACCAGATTTTCTCTATCCATCTTTTGTTGATGGATACTTGGGTTGTTTCTAACTCTTTGCTATTGTGAACGAAGCAGCAATAAACATGGGTGTGCATATATCTGCTTGGTTGGCAGTTATGGTTTCTTTATGGTATATTCCCAGTAGTGGAATTGCTGGGTCAAATTGTATTTCTATTTGAAACTTTTTGAGAAAGCGTCATACAGCCTTCCATCATTTTACATTCCCACCAACAGTGAATAAGGGTTCCAGTTTCTCTGCAACCTCACTAGCATTTGTTGCTTGCTGTTCTGTTAAATTTTGCTATTCTTACTGGGGTGAAATGATATCTTATAGTTGTTTTGATTTGCATCTCTCTTAGAGCTGGGGATTTTGAGCATTTCTTCAAGTGCATGTTGGCCACCTGAATGTCTTCTTTGGTGAAGTGTCTGTTCATAGCCTGTGCCCATTTTTCAGTTGGGTTATTTACCTTTATCTGTGGTGTTCATAATATTTTCATTGGCTGATTTTCCAAAGTGAAGGTCCCATGGTATATAGTGCATTTCCAATGATTGGAATCCACCAGCTGCTCCTTAGGAGAAAGCTGGGAAGTCTTTTCCTAATAAGATTTAGGGCCTTGAGAAACCAATGGAGGATCAATATGCGTTGAAATTGACCTGATGGCAGTGAGCTTTAATTTTCAAAAGCTAGCCTTTCTTCCAAGTCTGTCTTAGTCTAGAGACTCCTCTGAACCTGTTCACCTTGGGTGATCTTGGTGTATTTGGCCTACTAGTGGAATGACAGTACATCAACATGTCAGCCACTAGAGTATGATAAACTGCTAGGCAGACTGTTCATACCATGGAGTTAGAAGAACCAGTTCGTTGCTTTTGGAGTCTGTAAGTCACATGGGAGGATATTGATCATTTTTCTTCTGTGGAGCCACTCGTGGATTTGAACAACTGGAAATGTGCAGCTTTGGGGTTAGCAGTGCAACTCCCTACCCACTAGGCCACCAGAGCTCCTGATAGACTAGTAATGGTCCAAGACTTCCCTCCAAGTATCTCCTTGAGGAGACATTAGACTTCCTTCCATTGTCTCCTTGAGGGCTCTTGGCAACTCATGAACTTATTTGTAAACTTATCCCTGGACATGTTGAACAGGGGATGACAAATCAATGTACATATTGTACCATGCAGGCCTGATTTTGAGGAGACATTTAGGGTAATTTGTTTCCATGTCTCTCTACACCTGCTTCACAGACGAGATGGTAGCTCTTGATTGACTGTATTCAGAGGCAGGAAGGTGACTTTTCTCTTCTGTAAAATATTTCCAAGATATCTTTATTGCTTCAAAGTTGCCTGACACCTTACTATCATCTCAAATCTCAGGCTTGTGTAGGTCTTCTAAATGAGTCTCAACATTTAGTAAATAGGGGCCTGATGACCAACTATTTCTACCAACAAGTAAAATGAACAGGATATAAGATGGTAAGGTCAGGGTGAGCCTTCTTTTTCATTAACATTCCTGTTGTGGCCAAAGTGTGAAATCTTGGAATTTCACACCAAACATGTTCTCACCTCTACATTCTCTTTATTCTTACAGAGGACAAGCATCAAAATGAGATTGAGACTCTTCAAAGATTGAGGTACCATTTATATGAAGAGCTTTCCTGCAGTCATATCTGGGAACAAGTTGTGGGAGAATTAACTAGAAGTCAAGAGTCTATGAGAAAGCATCAAGAGAAGAGTCCTTGTTTACAACATGATTTCCCCTGTCAGATCTGGGCAGGTGTTTCTATTGAGGGTCTCGAAGAGGAAAGATACCTAATGAACCTGGATGGAAATGACTGCAATAATATTAAAAATCAAAAGTTTCCAAGTTGGAGAGCCCAAGATTTGGGGAGAACATATCTGAGTGAATCACATAATCTTCATAATAGATGGGAACGAATTTCTGTGGGAAGAATTCTATGTAAATATGATCAGTGTATTGACAGCTCCAGTTGGAGCTCACGTCACCATGAGGAGGACAGAGTACACCAGAGAGACAAAGCTTCTGGGCCCTGTGGAAAAGACTTCATAAAGAAGTCATCACTCAGTCAACTTAATACCATAGACAAAGGCAAGACCTATACATGCCGTCAGTGTGGCATAGGCTTCTGTGACACCCCCAGCCTTGAACTTCATCAGAAATCACATGTGTGGGAGAAATCCTGTGACTGTGGTGACTGTGGAAAGGACCTCAGTTACAGCTCAGTTCTTCCCATTCGTCAGAGTATTCAAGCAGGAGAGAAACTCTGTAAATGCGGTAAGGATCTTAGTCAGAATGTGTATGTTCCCACCCATCAGAATGTCCTCACAGGGCAGAAACCCTCCCCATGCCACGAATATGGCAAGAGCTTCACTCAGGGTTCCCCTCGTCACACTCACCAGAGATTCCGTACGAAAGAGAAGCCTTTCCAATGTGATAGCTGTGGGAAGCGTTTTTATCGGCGCTGTGACCTTGAAGTCCATGGTCAAATCCACAGTGGAGAGAAACCCTTTAAATGCAAGGAGTGTGGAGAGAGCTTCAGGCAGAGCTCACATTATCAAGCTCACCAAAGAGTCCACATAGAAGAGGAGCCACTTGCATGTGAGGATTATGGGAAAGATTTCAATGGAGGATCGGTACCTGACAGTCATCAAGAAATCCCCTCCGGAGAGAGTCCCTATCAATGTGATAAGTGTCTTAAGTGTTTCAGCAGTAAGTCGGGTCTCCAAGTCCATCAGCGAGTCCACACAATTGAGAGACCTTATAAGTGTGAGGAATGTGGGAAGAGCTTTAATTGGAGTTCACATCTTTACGTTCATAGAAGAATCCATACTGGAGAAAAACCCTATAAATGTGGGGAATGTGGCAAGGGCTTCAGTCAGACTTCACATCTTCAAGCCCATCAAAGAATGCATAGTGGAGAGAAACCATACAAATGTAGTATATGTGCTAAGGGCTTTAGTCGGAGTTCTTATCTTCGGGTTCATCAGCGAATCCATACTGGAGAGAAGCCATTTAAATGTCTAGCATGTGGTAAGGGTTTCCGGCAGCGGTCCTATCTTCACACACATCAACGAGTTCACATGGTGGAGAAGCCCTACAAATGTCCTGACTGTGGTAAGGGCTTTTGTCAGAGTTCTTCTCTTCATGCTCATCAGCTAATTCACATAGATAAAAACTCCTGTAGTTGTGAGAAGTATGGGCAGAAACTTAGTAATAGCTCAGGCCATAGTATTTATTGTAGAATGTACACTGACAAGAAATCCTTTGAATGTGAAACGTGTGGGAAACGCTTCAGTTGGAGCTCACATCTTCAAGCTCATCTAAGAGTCCACACTGAAGAGAAACCATTTAAGTGTGAAGATTGTGGGAAAAGCTTCAGTGGCCGATCAGCACTTCGCAGTCATCAACAGATCCACTCAGCAGAGACTCCCTATCAATGTGATGAGTGTCTGAAGGGGTTCACTAGTAAGTCTCGTCTTCGTATTCATCAGAGAATTCATGCAGTTGAGAAACCTTTTAAGTGTGAAGAATGTGGAAAAAGGTTTAATTGGAGTTCACACCTCTATGTTCACAGGAGGATCCACACAGGAGAAAAACCCTATAAATGTAAGGAATGTGGGAAGGGCTTCAGTCAGACTTCACATCTTCAAGCTCATCAGAGAATCCATACTGGAGAGAAACCATTTAAATGTAGTGTATGTGCTAAGGGCTTCAGTCGGAGTTCGTATCTTCTGATTCATCATCGAATCCATACTGGAGAGAAACCATTTAAATGTATGACTTGTGGTAAGGGCTTCAGCCAACGTCCATACCTTCACACACATCAGAGAATTCACATGGTAGAGAAACCATCCGACCATAATATTAGATCATAATATTTATTGTGAATTCTACAATGAAAAGAAACCGCTTGATATGTGGGAAATACTTAAAAGCTCACATCTTGAAGTTCATCTGAGAGTCTGTAGTGGTGAGAAACCATTCAGATATGATGCATGTGGTAAGTTCTTCCATTGTATTTCATCTCTTCATGTCCACCGGAGAGTCTACACTGGAGAGAAACCATCCAAGTATGTTGTTTGTGGTAAGGGCTTCAGCTGGAGGTCATACATCTTCAAGGTCATCAGACAGTCTCTGCTAAAGAGGAGCCATACAAATGTGATAAGAGTTTCTGTCAGGGTTCATATCTTCAGTTTCATAAGAATCCATTATTTTATGAAACACAACAAAGGCTTCAGTCAGAACTCACAGTCTACACACACACACAAAGAAGTTCCCATAGAAGAGAAAGGCTCTTAAATATGAAAAGGCTAGAATCAGAATTTTCATTTTGAAGTTCATCAGAAAGTCCTTACTAGAGATAAACCCTAAAAAGTGTGAGGAATGTAGAAAAGGTTTTAGTGGAAGACCTACATTTCATAAATATGAATGAATTATTAATAATTTATATGAGAGATTCCCACATACCCCTGCTCACCAGTATAAATGTAATGGTTTCAATAATCAGGATTCTGTGCACATCAGAGAGTTCACATAGGAAAGAAACAGGTGTGAGAACTGTGGGGAGTGCTTTAGTTGAACCTCGTCTTCTCATGTCAGTGATCACTGATGAAGGAAACATACATTTTCCCATTTTCAAACTTACCAGAGTCTACATGGAGAGAACCTATATAAAGAGGAGGAATGTGTGATAAGGGTTTTCTTTAATAACTCTGAGGGATTACCTCCTACTAGGGGAAACACATACACAATGATGTGTATGAAAGTTTCGGGGAACTGTGTTCTTCAACAGCCCGTGCCCAGCTAGGAGAGGAGACGTGGTTAATGTGGCCAGTATCTCAGCCAATGCTCAAAATAGCACCATTTACACAGAATGTATCTGGCAGAGAACCTTCTAAGGGTGGGTAGGAACTTTCCTAAAAAACTTTTTTATTTGTATACACAATAGAGAGAACTAAAAAGTGTAACAGAACGGCCAGGACTTCACCAAGTAAAAAGATGCACATGTGCTAAATCAGCATCAGCAGGGAAATAAGCTCCATGGAGACCTGACTCTTTTGTGTCTGTTGTTAGTGGTTGAATTGATTGCAACACATGGTCAGTTCTTATGTGTTGAGTACAACTGCCAACGTTTTACAAGGCAGTGACCTTTCAGAAGCCTGTCTTCTGAGGTGTCTCTGAGCGGGTTTGAACCACCAACCTTTCATTTCGTAATCAAGCACCTAACCTTTTACACCATCCATAACACAGGGAATTGAAATTAAAGGAGTTATTTTAGGAGGCCTTTTGCCTTGATTCTGTGGAAAACAGATTTAAGAGCTTGCCATTCCCTCCTCTTAATCTTGAGGAGTGAGTTTTTCCTCTAGTTTTCTGCTTCACTTGAGTCTGTTACTTTTGTCCAGGTTGTTGAGCACTTCCTGCGTCAGCTGTAATCAACTTGTAGTTTGATTTTTATTTTTCTTCCTTGCGGTGGGCTAAAACTTGCCCTTTGATTGTTTTGCACCTTGAAAGGTTTGGTCATTAGACTATGCAAATGAAGTTCCTATACCCTACTGTGCAAAGAAGTGTCTGTGTCCTACAGGGAGGGAATTGCTCAGTTTGTGGACCTGGTGGTGGTGGGGAACAATGCCTTTAAGTTGGCAGTCAATATCTATCTGATCTCTCTGCAAGAGTTTTGAGACAAGAGTTAGAAGCAAAAGGAAGAAGAGCAGAGTGGAGAGGGAGAAGGCAGGGAACCTAAAAGAGTTGTATTATAGGTGAAGGTGAAGGGCTCTAAAGCTAAAGGTGGCCAGAGACCTGGAAGGAGCCGTGTGGAAAGTGAGCAATGGGAGAACAAGAAAGGCTTGATGACAGAGAACTCTGCTTAGGGGGCAAAGAGGTTTGTGAGGTTGCAAGGAGGTCCATGCATAGGACAGAGAAGACATGTACAAAAAAAAAAAAAGGAAAAAAGAATGTGGCAGAAAGAAGGATCTGCTTACATGCATGGCTGAGAGGAGCTAAGAGACCTGGCCTGCTCTAAAGTAGGGAGGGGTGTGCTCTCCACTTTAGGGTAGCTTTTCAGACTGCCTTTATGTTTCCAAATCTTGATCCCAGGTTTTACCCAACTGCTTCTTTAGTCAACCACTTGACTTTCACTGTGGTACATGAGTTCTGTGTGGCCATTACAGTGGATGCTCAAACTCAGAAGAGGAGTAGAGGGAGACATGGCTGATGTTCGAATTGGTAAAAAGTTAGGAGAGTGAAGGTTGCCTAGATTTCATTTCATAGGAATCATCATCATTTTCCCTTAATTTAGATAGATTCCAATGCTACTATTACTGCTTCTACCATGTCAGAGTTGGAATTAGAAGTGGAATTCTTTGCAGTGGCTCTCAAATCTTGGAAAGGTGGGACTTTGGGAGAGAAAAAATGAATGGGTGTAGGATGCGAAGCTTGTTACTTAGATGATTATTTTGATTGCTGCTGCCTGTAGTGGCTAAAAGGAAAGTAAGAAATGTGCTATCAATGGATAGGAGAACTGTATCTAGGGTGACTTGTGGTGAAAGCATAGCTGGTTAAACAAGGTGACTTATTTGGGATCAGTGTCTTCTGGTTCAGTCCATCCAGAGACTTACAAATAGGTAAGATGCATTAAAAAAATGAATATTTATAAAAAGTTATATGTCTATCTGAATATAAGTTTGACTAAAAGAATATTTTTACTACTTAGTGACATAAAACAAACCTTAATGTATGATGGAAAGAAATATTAAGTATTATGGGTGGGCGAGTAGGATCCTGGAGAAACCAAAACCATCAGTAACAATGTGTTACCCTACTCATCAGGCAGCACTTGATGGGATATGCTAAAAAAGGTGAAGTAGTACAGGGAGCTTATGCCCAAAGCCTGTGAGATCAGGAGATTTGTATTTTTGAGACCACTGAACTTTGATTAAGAGTCCCATGATAACTGAAGACTTGATTGACTGAAAGCTTGATCAATAAAAAGATGTTTATATGAGGCACAGTGCTAGACAATCTCAAGGGTGTTATTCATGTTAAATGATGATGAATGGCAATGCCCTGCAGAAGAACAATCTTTCAGGACTGGAAATTTTGAAAGTTGGGGAGTAGAGACCTCACTCTTTTGAGGTGACTACCTAGGTCTACATTGTGAATGGGATTGGAGGTGCATTAATGAAGATACAGATTGAGTTTGGACAAGTTTGTTTGCATCCATCGACTTAGCCCCAGGTATCTCAGGAGGAGAGAAGGGACTGGCCAATCTAAAGTGCAGGATGTTGTTTGAACTCCTGAACCTACACTGGCACCCCCTGACTTAGATGACTAGACATTGAGATGGATGACCAACCCCAGATAAAAGGGAAGAGAGAAACGTTTGACACCGTGAGTTGGTATAGATTGCTACAATTTGATGATTTACTCTGAGCTGGATTTTGCTTATGAATGCTGTTGCTTAGGGTTACAGCTGGGGCAGATGGTCCTTCAGAATAAAGAACTTGCTTGTCTTCTCAAAGTACTTATTTGAGTTGGATGAACAAGTCAAACATTGAGTGTGTATCATTCTTTAATTCTCCAGCTCACTATAAAGAATATACATTCTAAAGATTTAATTCTTATTCTCCCAGTATGATCTTAAGGAAAAGTATAGAATTTGGTTCTTTTTGTCTACTATTTTGTTGGAGTGAAGGTAGAAATCAGTCAAAGACGTCTTATTATTTTTTAGGTTGAAATCAAAGATGTCTTATTATTGTTAATTTCCTGCTCAAGTTACGGAGAGAATTTTGGAGTAAGGTTAAAAGTCCTAAACCTTTCAAAGTGGACAATTAATTTTAGCTTGAAAATATGTTCTTACTACCTATTGGAGCTCTGGTGGCCTAGTGGTAAGAAGCTGCGCTGCAATCTTGAAAGTGCCAGTTTTAATCCAGCTCTGTGGGAGAACGGGGCAGTCTCCTCCCATGTAACTGTCTGAAAACTCCCCCGGGGTCAGCTATAGGTCGTTCAATGATCACAACAACATAACCTGTTACTCATATAGCCTGATGGAAAACAAAAACAATGACCATCTAAAAGAGGACGGGGATAAAGGCATGAGATGACTGGCTTGCGCACTTTTGTGAGTGTGCTTGCACTCAGAATGAGGGAGACCAGGGCACAGCACCAGAAGATAGATTTCTTCTGTTCCTGATGGGTCTGGGGAGAGAGGGTAGGGGAAGATGCTTAGCTGTTTTTAGGATTCAGTTGTGCAGGTGGGTTGTCCGCAAGGGTAATTATGATTGTAAAAACTGTCCTTGTAGAAGTTGTAACTGGAGGACTTAAGGGGGGAGACACTTCTGGATTGAAGTGTCCACACCTAATGTCGCATGAGGCTGTGCTATGCTGAAAATTTAGAAGAGTGGGAGCAAAGAAACAACATTCTCTCAGTAAGGTTTTATCAGCCGCCAGAAAGGGAGAAGTCAAGGGGACATTTTGAGAACCTGACCAGATTAGATGAGACACCTGCAGTAGATGTGATGGGCTACACCCGAGTGATCTCAGCTTTAGGGCCTTTGCCCTGTGGACGGACTCATTGTTCATGACTTATTTGGACTGGTAAAATGTATAAGATGAAAAGGTTAGAGGGTGCACTCTGGTGGAAAGACTTCCTCAAATGCGGCCTCGTCCCTTAGTTCTTTGGAAAAACAGCTGAGAATTTCTGGAGGACTTAGACTCAATTTTCTAGTCCAGGTTTGATACTGTTGGCCCAGGTTGATAGACATTCTCTGGTTAAGCTGTTAACAACTTAC